TCCTCCCGCCTCCCTCGCTCGCTCGCTCGCTCCCTCCCCCCCGGCCGGCTCGGCGCTGACTCCGCCGCACGCTGCAGCCGCGGCTGGAAGATGGCGGGGAACGACTGCGGCGCGCTGCTGGACGAAGAGCTCTCCTCCTTCTTCCTCAACTATCTCGCCGACACGCAGGTACGGCCAGCAAGGGCCGCGGGCCCGGGGCCAGGGGTGCTGAGCTGCGGGGGCTGCGGCCGCAGCCGCGGAGGCCGGGGGGCAGCGGTGGGCGCATTGGGGGGAACTGGGGTTCCCGGCTGCAGAGCCCCCCTTCCATGCGCCCTGCGATGCTCTCTGTTACGGAGGCAGGGAGCCAAAGGCTCCCCCCCGCGCAAGCCGGAGCGTGGGGGGCGCTACGGCCGCCGGGGAGGGTCTAGCCTCGGTCGCTTGGAGTCCGCTCCCCCCGCCGGCAGAGGTGGGGGGTACCGCGTTTCCTTGGGGAGGTGGAGCCGCGCCAAGGTGTGGGGGACGCTCAGGCTGGTCCTGGGTGCGGGAGGCGCGCCCTCAGACTCCCGGCACTTGCTGCCGTACTTTCACGTGGACTTGTGGCCCCGGCTCAGGCGCCTGCCCCCGTCCCCGGAGTGCCCTGGTCCTCCGGTCTCCCGTGCCCCGCGTGCTGCTGCTGGCCCCCCGCGGCTCCCCGTCTGCGCCCGCAGCGCGGAGTTTCCTGCCAGTTGCCGGCTAAGGGCTTAGGGGGCTGCGGGGCACGTGGACATGCCGGCGGAGATAGCACCTTCCTGGTTTCGCTACCGGCGGAGCCCCCCGGGAGAAAACCACGGCAGGATGGGGGTGGAAAGACTGTCTGGGGACGCCTGGGTCCCCCTGCAGCGCGCGGCCCCGGTGCGCGCTCGGCGATGCTGGGGGAAGGGAACGCGAGGCGGCGTCCCGGGCTCTGGCTGAGCCTGGGAGCCCCACCGGCGACACGCGCGTGACAGGAGAGGGTGCTCTGGTGTGCCGGGGCGGCGGGGGGTGGTGGTGCGAGGGAGCTGGTGACTTGGAGACGGGGTGGAGGGGGGTGCTGTTGGGACAAGCCGCCACCGAAAATGCCTGCACTAGGCGTGCGCGCCCCCCACCCCTTCCTTGGTTTTCCCCACCCGATGCCTGTTGCAAGCGTAAAGTTTGGCCCCATAGTTAGGCTTTTTCTCTGGGCGCCTGGCTGCGGGTAGCCGGGAGGCTGGGGATGCGGCGGAGGCGAGGAGACCCCGGATGCGGGCGCACTGCCGGGCGCGGAGAGGGGCCGCCGGGCGGAACCGGGCGCGGCTCGCGAGGGCTGGTTTGGTACCTGGAGTCCGAGCGCCGGTGCCGGCTCGTTTTGCATAACACTGGAAGGGAGGGGGAAGGCGGAGGGGGGCGGGCGGTGGGAGGAGAGAGAGGGAAACTTTGCTTCTTGTTATAATCTGCCTGTCTTTGGGCGGCAGCAGCTGTCATGGGACCGGGTGGGCGGGGAGAGGCTTGCAAGCCGACTCCTGGCCGTGAGACGCGACTTGGAGGGGACGCAGCAAGCCGAGACGTTCAGCTCCGGGCGGCGACTCCCGGCTGGCGGCTGGGACGGCGCGGCGTGGCGGGGTGTCGCGGAGAAGAAGCCCGCCACGCGCCGGAGAGGGCCGGCCCTCGCTCGCTGCAGACATCCATGCGTCAGGGAGCCGCGGGGCCTCGTGGTCGGTGGCGGGCGTGCTGGGGTGGTTTCGGGGCGGGGGCCGAAGGGGTGGTGGCGTGTGATCGCGCATTCTTCGGGCCGGGGTGGGGGGGTAGTGTGTGATGAGCGGTCTGCGCGCGCGGGTGTGTGTGTTTGTGTGCACACGCCGCGCGCGCCAGGCGCGTACCTTTACCTCTGACGAAACTGCAGTGGAGCTCCCGCGGCGGTCACCGGGCGTCGTCGTCGGCCCCGCGCCCACGTCTGCTCCGATGGCAGGTCCCAGCCCCAGCCCCAGCACCACCACCAACCCCGCTACCCCCTCCCCGCTCCGCCCCCCCTCCCCCCCGGCCCCGGCCGGCAGCCTGGGGCTAGAGGGACTGGGTGCCGGTTGGGACCGAGTTGCCCCTGGGAAAGTTCTGTCCTCAGCCCTCGCACTTGTCTGGGGGGTGCCTCCGAACCTCTCGACTGAGACTTGGGTGAAGGAGGCCTGAAACAGCCGGAGACTCGTTCGGGGACCCCTAGCAAGAACTGTCCGTTCTGGACCCTGGTTTTAACTCCATCTTTGGTGTTCTTTGGCTCACCAATAATTAATTGTCCTTTTAGCCGCCCAGCGGGCTTACCCTGCAGAGAGATTTCACCCAAGGAAACTAGAAACTTGGGTAATCAGGTGTCAGCAGAAGCAGTGCAGTGAAAGTTAATCTGGGACGTTTGCTTTTTTTATTTAACCACGTGACAGGCTGAGGCTCCTCTGGTGATCTTTGCCGGCCCAACTTGGGAAATGTAATTGATAGGGGAGCTTTGCAGCCACCCCTAGAAGGTTCATAGAGCCCAGCCGGAAGAGGACCTGGGCGGGCCATCGCGTTTCTCCTCATTTTACAGTTGGGGATAGAGGCTGCGAGGGGTGAGCGGCTTGTACAGGACCACGCAGCCAGCGGGTGACAGAGCCACCCAGGGCTCCTGACTCCAGGTCCTGTGTGTTACCTCGAAATAGCACTGGACTTGGAGTCAGAAGGCCTGAGTGGAGTCGCCTTCCCCACTCTCTGGCTGGGTGACCCCAGAGCAAGCCATTTTAACTCTCCGAGCCTCCTTTCCTCCATCTGTCAAATGGGGCTGGTGTTGCCGGCAAGAGAAGAGGAGGTCGAGGTGGTGGGGGTGAGCACTGCTTGCATGTGAGATGTCTGGTTGTTCCTGTGATTCCCTCTCCTCCTCCAGCCCCTCCCTGACCCTCCCCTTCATCTCCCCCTAAGGAAGGGGTGGGGAAAGTGAATAAAAAGGTAATTTATTGTCTTTATCTGAAAGACTTGTCTTTGGTGGCTAATCCAGAGTCAGATAGAGGGAGGACTTCTGTTTAGGAGACTTAACTTTTACCCATTCAGGCCAAAGTTCAGAAATTCTGCGGACCAAGGATTGTGAAAGTTTCTTGGGCAGGTTTGGGGCATGTATCCCAGAGGACTTTGGGTTGGCTTCACCTTTGCCCAGCCTGTGCCCCTTGCCTCCACTGCCCTCACCCACCATTCCTGCATGGCCTTCTCCAGCAGGCCTTCCTTTCCCAGCTTGCCCTGCTTTCTGACTCTTCTGGTTTTCTTAGCCTGTGTTATACAATCAGGCACTTTTTGTGTGTGAGTCCTGTGGCCCAGTAGGATTCTGGAACTAGAGTTTTGTCTTTGATCTCTTTGTGTCCCCATGGCACCTGCCACCATGCGAGTTCCTTTGCTCAGTCCTTGGCATGTGAATTTCAGACAGGGGAAGCTCCCAGGCTGGCCCCTGAGACAGCTGGGCAGTGAGTATGGGTAGAGAGGAATGCAGAAAGCTACAGGTGTGGGGCCATGACTTTGGCTCCAAAGGCCACACAGTAAGCCCACACTAAATACGGGTTATCTGAAGTCACTTCGGACATCAATCATAGATGCCCCAAATGTCAGAGTTGGCAGCAACTTTATAAATCATGTGGTCCAATCTCTAATCATTGAAAAATATTTAATAGTAGAATTGTTAGAAAATACTGGCAAGCTTAAAGAAAAATTGAAAATATGTAATCTTACCCAAAGGTAACCACTATTCATTTTTATATATATTTCCAGACTTTTTTTTAATATCGGTTGCACAAAAATGGAGTCTTCATCATATATTCATTGTAACTTGGAATCATATTGTTGTAATTTGCTTTTTTTCTCCTCCAAATATGCTGTGATTGTCTTTCCACATCAATAAATATTCTACTTCATGTCTTAATATCTGAATGGTTATATAGTGTTTTATTGAGGGTTTGAACCACAATGTATTTGATCAGCCCTTTGTTGTTAGTCATTTAATTTGTTTATAATTTTTGTTGTTGTTCTTGTAAGCCACGCTGAAATGAATGTCTCTGCATGTCTTCTTTCCTTCATTTAAATTCCTAGAAGTGAAATTACTCTGTCAAAGGAAATATGCAGGCGTTTGGTAAACACATTTCTGGATTGCCTTCTAGAAGGATTGTGCTAATTTACACACTTACCAGCATTGTGTGGGAATGCCTGGTTCCCCATAGCCAAATAACTCTTGGTATTTTAATTGTTTCTCATTTTTACCAGTTTGTTCATCAATAAATTCTTTTACCCTTTTGTTTTAATGTGCATTTCTTTGACCACTTGTGATGCCTCCCCCCCACCCCTGCCCCATAATTATGGGCCATTTTTGGTTCTGTTCTGTGAAGTGTCGTGTTTGTGAATTTGGCCCATTTCTCAATTGGTGTCCTGTCCCCCCATTTTTCTAAAACTGGATCTGAGTACTCAGAAGGGGCCCCATCACCCAGAGAATGGGGCACTTGGCTTGAACATCTAGTGTTCAGTTCCTGGGTCTGCAGTACGGCTGCTCCCCCAGCCCCTGAAGCCAGGACTCACTTCTTTTCCAAGCCAAAGTGACAGGCCTCTAGAGGGGCGGGTTGAAGTGCAGCCTTGGCTGGGTGCCTTTGCCCACCCTTCACTTGTGTGAGAACAGGGGGAGTAACTTCTTCACCTGAGCCCAGAAGGGGACAGGTTTGCTGGCTTCGTTCACCACAGGCGGGAGCTCTGCTTTCACTGGGGCTCCCTGGCTGGTACGAATGATCAGGATGCTTATGGAACTGGGAGAAGCAATGGCCCGGCAATGGGGCCCTAGGGGCTCATATTTCCCCTTCACCTTGGGGCTCTCCTCTCCCCAGCTGGTGCAGGCCAGCCAGAAGCTCCACCATTGCCAGGGGATGAGTCACCCTTTTCCCTCTCTCTCTGGAATAATAGAAGGAATACTGGTTTGAGTCAGAAGCAGCCTTGCAAATGGGGGCTTGGGCTTAGAAGTGAGGTCATAACATGAGCATTGCAGTGTTAACAGCTAGCTCCTCCTGCATCGTCCACGACATTTATTAGAGCATCCTTTTGATGCTGTGCACACTGCCAAGGCTTCTTTTTGCATTGTTGCATTTTATCTTTGTAAAGATTCTACAAAGTGTAGGTGTCAGTGTTATTACCATTTTACAGAGGAGGGTTTTACAGTTTCAGAGAACTCACTGGCTTGCTGCAGATAATCCACCTACTACACTGCCTTGGAGTGAGTAGAAGAACCAGGGTCAGACGCAAGGTTCTCAGACCACAGGACTCCAAGCTCATAAGGCAGGGACTACGCTCTATTTCTGTTCGTCGAATTTCTAGCACCTTGAGCAAATTAAGGCACATTGCATAGAGAGAAGACAACTCATAAGGCCCTCTGCTTCTCTTTGCCTCAGTTTCTCAGTCTCTGAAATGGGGATCATAGGCCTTAACTCTCAGGGTTGAGACTTAAGTAACGTACTTAAAATGAGTAGCAGCCTGCTGCTGAGGAAACTTGAAATTCTCTTTGAAAGCACTTTAGAAGGGCAGGATTAAGTAAAATGCAAACTCCCCTTCATGCAGTCTTTTTTTATGCAAAAAAGGGAAGCATAATTCCAGGCTATCTTTTTTATGTAAAAACGGGAAGCATAATTCTTATTATGTGAAGGTGAAGGAAACCCAGATAAAGTAATTTGGAAGAGAATGAGCTGGGCCATTTCCTATTTCTCTTCCAAGGTACTCAAGTGACACTCATTGATGCACAATCAATTGGATTGGATTGCCCTTTCAGTTCCTCTCCCCCTCTTCTGGTCTAGGTCTTTGTCCTTTCACGACTGTGGGGAATCCTGCAGTTACTAGAGTGTGTGTCTGGTGTCACTCCCTTGCTCACACATTACCCATGGCTCCCCAGTACTTTTACATTAGAGCCTAAAGTTTAACCCTGATGTTCAAGGGCCTTCAGGTCCTTGAAGTCGGGAGAGTCAGGCCCTTGACTTTATCCTGATTTGTCTGCTTTCCCTTTGGGATGTGTCCACCCCAGGGATGTCATGAATATTCTTCCTGAAAGTGTGGGCTCCTCCTGCTGTTACCTGTCTCTATAACTGTTCCTCCCGTTTCCATCACTCATCTTTCCAGACCCAGCTGCCATGCCACTGTGTGGTGCCGCCTTCTCCCTGCCCTCCAGGCACGGCTGCTCTGTTCCCTGGCAGGTCCGCTGCACTCACTTTGAAGGCAGCCTATCTGGGTTTGCCGTTTGCTGGCTGTGAGACCTTTGGTGGGTCACATAACCTCTCTGCCCTTCCATTATTTAAAGCTTGTGAGAAGTCAACAAAAACCAAATGGCAAGTGGATTTAAAGTGCCTAACACAGTGCGTGCCATGGAATCACCAAATAATAGATATTTTTCCTAATAGAGGGCCCATTAAGCTTAATCATTTAGGAAATCACTCCAGATTGTCCGCTTCCACGGGGGCGAGGATTTTTGTCTGTTTTCGTCCTCCATTTTCCCCCACAGTGACTGGACAAGTGCCTGGGACTCAGCCATTCTAAATCCGCACGGAGTGAATGAGTATGCTCCACCCTGAGCCTCTTCAGGGCCGACACTGCTCCTCTTGTTACCTGTAGCATCTGTGTTCCTGAGAAGGGACAGGCTGATAAATGCTTGCGGAATGTGCCCCCCCCAACTCCACCCCCACCATTTAAAGGCAGTCATAGCCCACCTGCGCTTCAAGCTCAGCCCCCATCCCCATCCCCACACCTGTCCTCTAGGGAGAGCCTTTTACACCAAGTGTTCTGCCTCTGCCCCTCACGTGGACGGTGCTGCTTACTGTCCCCCTGGGGTCCGTGTGCTTTCCCCCCACCGCCAGGTTGACAGCTCTGGGAGGGCAAGAAATAGAATTTTTATCCTGAGCTAGCTTTGTGGTTACTCATTAAGTAGATGATTTTTTGAGCAGAAGAATGTTTTATGTGATTAGGTGTCAGGTTCACTGAAGAAGAGTTTGTATTTTAAACATTTTACATGGCAGATGCCCAACACCTAGAGAAGCAGCCGGTCGATGGCGGAATGGTAGCGAACCCCCATGCTCCCATGGCTTCAGCCATTTTGGATGCGTGGCCACTCTTGTTCATCCACCCACACACCACATCATGTCATCCGTGACTATTTCAGTGTGTATTTGTGAAGAGACTTTTTAGTACCAGCACATGGTTTCTCCCGATAACTGGGAGGTTGGTTCTATTGTCCCCATTTTGTAAGTGCACAGGGATTAGGTTCGTCACGTAGGGTCTAACCTGGGACGTTGGCCCCTGAGCTGCTCCCTCTCCTGCCATGCTTGGGAGGCTGGTTGGGGAGGATCCACTCTCGCCCTGCCTCTTCCGGAAGAGGGTCACTGAGGCCCAGACGGAGAAGCCACCAAGCTGGAGGCGGCTCAGGTGCCTGACTCTCAGACCCTTTCTTTCTGAGAGTCTTTCTGGTGTGTGGGGAGGTAAATCTCTGCTTTGGGGGACAGACAGGTGGATAGTCCTCAGACGCTGTTGCCCAGGTGGCTGGGCTCTGTGGTGGCCATGGCGCCCTGGGGTGTATTCCACCCCCACCACCACTGGGCAGGCCGCATTTGCTTCCTGCTCGCACATCTTCTGAACCCCAAAGGCCCCCCACTCCCCTTGAAGCTAACGGTGGGTTTCTTCCTTAGTTGCTTTCATTGGGATTACCCCTTGAGTGAGTCGGGGGGCCGTGGGGTCAGAAGCCTGGGTTCACAGGGCCTAGAGGAGGCATCTGAGCTGAAGCACACAGCTGGGCTGGGCACAGGGTCTGTAGGCCCGTGATGGCAGCTAGACTCCTGGGCTCCCTGTCCTGCCCTTTCTTTTTAAAAATTTTCCCCACCCTGCCTGTTCTTCAGGGCAGAGACTGATTTGCTGCCCAGGGGTAGGGTAGGAGACCAGAGAGACTTTTATAAATGGGAGGGTAAAGTCATTGATGAATTATCCCCAAAGGCCTGTAATTACTGCTCGGTCTTTTAGGTAAGAAAACAAACATTTGCTCTCATTATTTGTTTAGGTGGCTGAGAGGGCTTGGAGCCTGGGGTTGGGCGCTGCTTGAGTGAGGCAGCCCTGTGGCCTTGGCACAAGGCTTCTTTGTGTTTGAGTTGTCTCTCCTGGGAAATAGGACTCATAGTAGCACAGAGTTTAGAGGGTTTTAGGGCTTGTTGAGATGATGCCTGTAAAGTGCTTAGGAATGTTCAGTCAGTAGGGGCCATTGTTAGTAAGAAAACAGACAAATACCTTGTAGAGCCTGCCATTTATCTTCCCACTCAGCTCTAGGTCCTTGATCCTGTTGAGGCCCTGAGGTTTCTCTTTCAGAGTATTATGTTTTTTCTTCCCCGGTACTTCTGGGGGAGGTGAAGAGGAATCCCATCCAGCCTTAACAAGGACTGCAATATTGACTTTCAGAAAACCAAATCCAGTTAGATGCTACTTGAAGAGAGAAGAAATAACAGATAGTGATTAAGAGCTCTCGCCTTCAGAGTTTAACTGCCAAGGGTTTAAATCCAGGGACCTACCACTTACTAGCTGTGTGACCTTGAACAAGTGTCTTAACCTCTCTGACCCCAGTTGGAGAAGCAAGCTCCTGGGCATGGCATTCAAGGCCTTACATATAATATCGGGGATAAGAATGGTGTGCTCTTCGGACAGCTAGAACAGAGGATAGATGGTGCTTGGAGCATTGCCTGACCTAGAGTGAGCACTCAGTAAATAGTAGCTGTTAGGATGATGACAATGACGAGGATGTAAACTCTAATGTAAGACTGAGCTTTCAGGGAGCTGGGCATGCCTTACAGACCATCTGACTCAATGCCCTTACCTTGAAGTGAGGAAACAGGCTGGGAGCAGACCAGGATTAGCTTCAGATCACCTAGCAGAGGCAGGACAGGACTCCTAGCCCCTGTCTGCAAGGGCAGGGCTGGCTCCGGATGACAGACACTCGGCTGTCTGGGACCCACTGTCTGGGCGCTCAGCCGGGCGAGCCCTGCTCATCTGAGATTGATGCTCCCCAGCAGCTCTGCAGCCGTGTTTTCCCTGTGCTTGCCTGGCAGAACACAGCCATTTAGCAGAGGGAGAGCGAGGAAACGTTAGAAACCAGGCCCTGAGCAGTTGCGGCAGCCGGCCCACGAGTGGCTCCCTGAGGTTGCCATGGCAAACAGCCTTGGCAACGTGGCTGCTGGAGCCTTTATTTCTGGTCCCAACCTCCTCGCGGGAAGTGTGGTGTGGTACCCAGGACACCGGGG